ATCAGGAGGACCTGAGTTCAAATCTGGCCTCAGACACTTGACACTTACTAGCTGTGTGACCCTGGGCAAGTCACTTAACCACAATTGCCTCACTAAAAAGCCAAAAAAAAGAATGCATTGCTTTAGTCCTGTGAAAAGTTCCAATTGCTGGAAAGGACCCATTATATCATAAGCTCCTAGTGGGCAGGCACTATCTTTTGCCTCTTTTTGTTTTCCTAGAATTCAGCATAGCACTGGACACATGATAGGTACTTAAGAAATGTTTATTGAATTGAATTGACCCCTAAACAATAATAGAATGTTTCTGTGTTAGGCTTTATAGTGTACAGAGCAATTTTCACATGCTTGATATTTTTTAGTAACCTGCTGAAATGCTACTGAAATCCACAACTTCAACTCCAGTTCTTCTGTGCCCAAACACAGGGTTGTTTCTCCCATGTTACCATCCTACCTCTTAAAGCTTTCATTCTTGGGTTGGTTGTGGTGCCATTACTGTTAAGGGTTTGGATTCTTTGTGAATACATGGAAAAATAGATCATAACTTTGTCTGACAATTAGAGATTCTGAATTCCTTGGGATTTGAAGAGGGAAAAAAAAGTCCCAAGTTAGTTATCTTAACCCTAAATAGGATCTTTTTAAACTCTGGGGACTTGGTGGGCTAAAAAATTGTCTAGATGATATCCATACTTTTATTTGCTTGGAAATATTGCTCTTCATAATATTTCTAGGTTTCATCAATATTAATATTAAAGTTTACTTACAATTTGATCTCTTATGAAACAATTCACTGAAAGGTAGTACTGTATATAAAAATTTGAAGCTAAAGAAACCAAGCAGATGAATATTAAAGCAATTAGGGGGAAAAATACAAAAGCAGACCATGTCCAATTTTCTGCCATGTGATTTTCTTCAAAGACACAGGATCTTTAATTTTAGGATGTTGACAATTAGCAGAATTTTGTCTAAACAAGTTGGTTTGGTATTTGAAACCAAAAAGATTTCACCAAAGTGAAAAGCAAGCCCAGGTCATTACCAAGTTGAACATAAAATAAAACAAATGGCCAGGTCTTTTTATCCAACTTCTCCTATGCTAACATTAGATGGTGGTTTGAATTAGAGCCTTATATGGGAACCAGGGTGGTTTGCAAATTCTAGCAGTAATTAAGAAAATCTTTAGCTGGATTACAGTTACATCTCAAAATGTCAAATAAGAAACATTAGCCAGCTGGCAATTCATTCAGGATATGCATGAGATCCAGGAGGGAAGGGAACCCAAGCAGACCCCCACTCATCCCCTAACTAGTGAGAATCCTTTTATTCCCAAATTAATCTCACTACCTTTTACCTTTCTTTTCCTGAAAAGGAGCTCCCTTCCCTCAAGAACCTCAAGAAGTAGAAACCTTTCCAATCATGACTCTTGACCTTAGAATTTTCTTAAAGTTTCTTTCTCTCAACTCCTCCATTTTCATTTCTTCCCTGTCCTTAAGGTATCCCCTTATTTCCTTTGCCTCCCTTCTCTCTCTCTTTAATTTTTCCATCTGTCCTTGGTTCCATCTCTTTTACTGTCCTAGTCTCTTCTTCATTCTCTTTGGATTTATAGCCTATTTTTTGCCTTTTCCTTAGGTTTAAGCGTGGGCCAAATTTTTATGGTTTTTTATTTAGTCATAGCAAAAGTCTTGATTCTCAGCCCTGGGATAGTATATCTTCCTTCTTTCTTCTTTTTCCCCCTCACCTTAAACTATGCTATTTTCTTTATTTTGAGAGACCTAAAGGTTAAGATTTGTTTTCCTCATGGCAATAATAGCAATACTTATTTATCAAATACCTGCTGTGTGCAAAGCCCTGTGTTGGAGGAGTTAAAAAGGCATGGCCCCTGCCCTCTTATGCTCTCAGTCTGCAAATGCTCTGCAGAAGAAAAAGCAATAAAAAGATAATATTTGAAAGACTATTCTTGCCAAAGCAGCATGTTTATTCCAGCAAATGGGTTGAGAAATTCCTCTTGGGCTTATTACCAACAGATAAACAAAGTATTGTTTATAAAGAAAAAAAAGGGAAATTGAGCCCATAGTTATCTGTACATAGTTGGTGCCTAATTGTTGTTTACTTAATTGAACTGAATCTTCCATTGTCAGGTTCTCTATATTTAGTTTGACTTATCTGGAGTGTGTTGGATTTTCAAGGAGTAATCCTTAGACGCTGGTTATTTTCTCTTAGTCATTATGCCTGTAATTCCAGTAGCTAGTGCCTGATAGCGGTGTTTCTAGCTGAGCTGATGTAACCACTCCCAATTTTTTTTCCCCTTAGTCATGCTCAGTGATATAATAAACATTTGTCACACAAATATGCCTTTATTCAAACATATGATAAATACACATGGCAAATAAGTTAAAAAGCTTTATCAGAGATGAATAAATAGAGAAATACACTGAGAAGCAAGATCTTAAAACATAAATCCCCATTCACAATGGGTTGCCCTGATGATTCCAAAAACCATCAACCTCTATTTGACTGACTTCTGGTTTCCTGGTCATCCATGTGTGAAATCTCCTGACTTGAAAATCCCAGCTTGGGCAGCTATATTTCTCTTCCTTTATTAATTGAGTTACCAATCCAGGAATTCTTCCTTCATCTGTTCAACCATTCCTTTTATTCTAGTAATTTCTCTATCTCTAGTCCCACTTAAGAAGAATGTGGAATTTAGTTTCTTTATTGATCAGAACAGAAAGATCCCAAAGAACATGCATCCCATACCTTTTCTTCTCATGACCTCACCTTCTGGTGTAACTAGGGTTTAAATCTTCTCAATGCTCTAGAGCAAGGATTGGTAAACTACAACTTTATCTAAAATTGTAAAACCATTCTCAGTTTGAAAGCAATAAAAAACAGGCTGAGGGCCAGTTTGTTGACTTTTGTTCTATAGTCCTTTCCTTTCTTTTCTTACCAATAATTATGTAAATAACTGCTTTAATGAAATAGGCACTTCTAATAGTTTGATAACTTCTATTCCAAACCTCAGCCCATTTGCATCCCTATCCCCCACCAAAAAAAAAAAGATTTAAAAACATTTTTAGGACCCTGGGCAGAAGTTTTAAACACAGTGATCTCCTCTTATTTAGATAGTAAGGGATTATGTTATCTCTGTATATTAATTTGTTTGAAAACCCTTCAAACCAAAGTAATTCTGCCTACTGATCAGAAGGACACCTCATCATTGTCATCATAATGAGCAAGCCGTAAGTGAGTTCCTCCAAGTGCAGAACACTGTACAAGGCTGTCTTCTGGGTACAATTTCAAATTCAACTCAAGCTGCAGGATTTCCTTATAGCTACAGCTTCACACTTCATGGGGAGAGTGTATCTTGGTAGCCAGAGATGAAAAGAACCATCAGCTCTGCAGCCTATTTTTGATTGCTCCGAATTCGATAACCAACCTATCAAAAGAGCCCACAGTTGCTAATGTAACATCAGTACCAAGATCAGTGTTTTAATTAAAGTTTTATGATTAATGTTAATTCACCGATTTCATGCAGGCACTTTCTGTTGTTCATGTCTTTGGGCAGATTAATTTATGACTTTTTAAGTGAAAATAATCAGTGCTTTAGGCAAATATGCTATTCCATCATATTTAAGGATTCTACTTAGACCAGTAGTATAAATGGTCCAGCTTCCATTAAAGCGCAAGACCAGGGAGAGATAATGAAGAATATTCAATCACTGTCATATCAGAGGATGATGCTGAAATTTACGTGGGTTTTTCCTGGCTGAAAACATACCCAACTACATTTCATACTTTATTGAAAATGTTTCTAAACCTATTTCATCTCGGGCCATAGGTATGGCAGTTCTGAATGTACAGAAGATTAAAATGCTCTTTTCAATGGGTGAAAAAGTGGCTTCATGGACCTCCTTAAGTTATCTTGCTCCCTGCTTCCCCCAAAAGTCCAGGATATGAAAATCCAACCACGTTGTATGTATGCACTGATGGTGAAAGGCTGAGCAATATATACTGTAGTTAAATTTTTTTCTTATTGATGAATGAAGCAATATATTTTGTTTTATGCTTAATTCTCTTCCCCTTGCCCTATTTTAAAGGCAAAAATTAGTGAATGTCTTCCTTTCTGGCACAAAATTGTTTTACTTTATCATTACCGATCTTATTGTAAATTCATAAAAGCATCTAGAGATTTGATAGTAAATTAAAGACGTTTCCAAACAACAATGTTTCCTTGGGATGATATGCCATTTTATTGAAGAAAGAGATAAGAATTTGAAATTTCTCTATGATTCTGATTTACTTTCCTCTCCCGAGGTTACTGCGAGTGAATTAAGTAGGTTATCCTGGCCTTTGGTGAAGGTACAGTGTGCAAGAAAATAGTGCTTAGTCTACAGAACTTCCTCATTCTGAAATCAGAAGAAGCACATCCTCTGAAGAATGTCAGCTGCTGACATACACAACTCTACAGCCATGCTTTAAGGGTCTGCCTGTTGCATTTTTAATCATAAACAAGTCTAGACTTAAATTTTTCATAATTGAACTCATACTGTAATCCATTACATGTGCTCCAAGTTAGCTTATGTCCCTGGCATTGTGGTGGCAGCTGGGTAAAATATTTGTTTTTCTTGTTTAGAATTGAATCGTAGCCTCTTAAAGCTGGCAATTATCGCCCTAACATGGGCTGCCAAAATCTGAATATTTCCCTCCAGCATCTTGCCAGCGCCTCGAGATTACAGGCCCTGTTGTTACCCAAAGCAGAGCAGCCTACATAGCTACCCAGAGTGAGAGAGGGCGGGACATATTGGTGGACCAGTTGCTGAAGCAGAATCATCACCTGGCTCGTGGGAAGTTGTGAGAAGATTGTACATGTTAGGGGAAAAGATGGTTCTAGTTTCTCTAAAATGTCTTTCAGATGAAGTAGAGAGTGATGAGAAGTTAAGGTTGAAATGTACTTTTTTCCTTCTCTCCCAGAAACCCTATACCAATCTGTGTGCTTTGATTTTCAGGCAAAGCAGAAAGAATGCCAGCTCTGTGTCTCAAGATTCCTGGGAACAGAACTACTCTCCTGGAGAAGGCTTCCAGAGTGCAAAGGAGAATCCCAGATACTCCAGCTACCAGGGCTCAAGAAATGGCTACATGGGAGGGCATGGCTTTAATGCCAGGGTGATGTTGGAAACCCAGGAACTTCTTCGCCAGGAACAGAGGCGGAAAGAGCAGCAGCTGAAAAAAAAGCCACCTTCTGATGGACCTAACAACTATGACTCCTACAAGAAAGTCCAGGACCCCAATTATGGCTCTCCCAAAGGACCTTTCCGGCAAGATGTGCCCCCCTCCCCATCTCAGGTAGCCAGGTTAAACAGATTGCAAACCCCAGAAAAAGGAAGACCGTTTTATTCTTGAGTGGGTGAGGGGGCACATACCTCCATGCAATGCAATAAAGGACATTTTCCTTTGAAGACTTGTATTTTGGAAGGTTTTTAAAAAACTCGATGGTACTACGGAATATCTCTGTTGTCTGAATCAGTGCCTTTAGCAATTTGGGCAAAGGAGTGGTGGGCCTTAATGTCTTTGCCACTGTGTCTCAAGTGTTATTTTCATGGAAGGATTTTCCCTCGCCCGCCAATCGACAATCGTCCTGTTAAGTATGCTCAGCATCTCCCCTGAGTATTGACCATCTTTGCCCAGTCCATTAGCTGTCAATGACTCATTATTATGGTTTGCAGCAATGTGTTCTACTCTGCAGTGGAATTTTAATACAACAGCCTATCTAGCCTTGCAGAATAAAATGAACCTGGAATTGGGGATGGTATTTCTCCATCCTTCTTTCTTTTAACTCCTCTTGGGTGAGAGGGGAGCCCGAAAGAACAAGATCCACCAGAAATCACAGCTTTAAGATACTTCCAAGTAGGATCATTTATGGTACTTTTTGATCAATATTTAAGTATTGAAATATGGTTTTCCCTTCTTTATCTCATATTGTTTTCAAAGATGAATCTCCTTCATTCTAATACAAAATCACACTGTGACACTTTTCAGTTATCCTAAGGTTCCTTTTACATTTACTTTATATCAACTAGAATCTTATCAAGAAGGGAAGCATCAAAGACCATATATATTTATAAATACAACTTCCCAATCAAATCCACAGTGACAGTTTGCTTTTCCCCTGTCATTTATCATAGGGAAGAGGGGGGAGGTGGAAGGGATTGTTGGAGGAGGGGTAGGCACATCTGCCTCAATGCATTTTGTTGTGTGAAAATGGTATCAGGAAAAAAAAGAAGAAAGAATTCTCTTAGAATGAGTCTAGAGTCCAATACATGATGGTAATTACTTTAATTAGTTTTTGTTTTGACAGGTCTGGGAGGGAGGGCAAAGAGCAGGACAAAGAGAAATGAGATAGTCGCTTTGGAGAGCTAAAAGCGAATATGTTTTCTACCTTTTTTTTTCCTGAAGTCTTGTTATAACTGACATTTGGTCTGTACTTCCTTATTAAAAAAATCTATATTGTGATACCACATTAAAAAATTTTTACACATATGAAGAAAATAAAGGATATGTGGAAGGAAATTGTTGCATATCCTACCAAATGCACATCAGTGTCCAAAAAAAAAATCATAAAAACAACTTGATTGCTCTTAACGGCATCATTTTTCATGTGTACAATGAGAAGGAGAATCTCTAGTGCAACAGCTGTTTTTATATTTGTGGGTCTGATCTTCATGTATGTAAAACAGAGCTGGGTTGCTAAAGTGCCTGCAAATCCTGATGTAGAGGAAGGGAAAGCCTGAGGTTAAAGCTCAGCATATCATGTACAAAAAAAAAAAAAAAGAAAAGAAAAAGTGGGGGGGGATAAAAAGCAGAATCATGTATTGTGGAATCTAAAATATGCCTATTTTTTTTTTACTGGCACATTTTATTTTATTTTTGTGGCATTTTTTTTTTTCCAAACCTATGTGAAACTATGTGAAGCCAGCTTTGTGTACCTGTGTCTTTTGTGCCTAATTGTTAATGGTTCTGTTTGTTAATAACGTGCAACAGTGTTTAAAAGGTGTCACTAATGTAAGCACGGTGACAGCGGCTCTTTCACACAGCCATTGTGCTGCTGTGGGAAATGGCGTTCCCTGTACATATGAGACTTATAATAAAAGGCTTATTTCTGTTCCTTTGTAGTACCTGTAGTATTCCTGTGGAACCTCCTTAAGCTGTTTTATGTACATATCTTTATATGTGTTATACATACAGTTGTACCCCACACACATATGTGAAATAGATGTTTTTATTTAATATTATACAGAGCTGAAAATCCCCACATGTCACTCAGCTTGCAAATCTGGAAACACATCATCATTTGCCCAGTTGAGCTCCACTGAAGGTACAGTGACAGCAGCAGAGGGAAAGGAATGTTAGTGAAATCCCCAGGATTCTTTGGGAGATCTAGGACTCAGTAAAGAAGCCTAAAGAGTTATTTTTTTTTCCCCAAAAGAATCCTCCATATTTTTTTCTCCTTAAAATGACTGAACAGAAAGCTAATGTTATACAGTGTTTCCAGCTCCCTCTTTCACTCCTCTCCTCCACTTAATAGTGTGAACCTAAAGAAAAGTCCTAATTCTAGGCCAGGCTGTGATGCCCACCCACCCATTGAAAGTGAAGGCAGTGGCATTTCTTAGGCATGGTGTAGTGACTCATTAATATTTGTACAGTGCTTTGAAGATGAAAAGGGCAGCCTAAATTCCTAGTCATATTGTGATGAGCTGTCTCCTGTACATACATGGAGGAAGATAGGGTCCCCACCCAATGGGAGAGCTTTGCACAAACCTACAGTATCAGTCCTTGTAATCCTGTGCTCAACATCAGCCGGTTGCCATAGCAGTGGGCATCCTGTCACAAATTCTAGATGCTATCACTACAGCATTAATAGGAAAAGTATGGCTTGTCAAGTAAATATCAACTGTTTGACTTTCACATACTTGGCATAGTTAGAAAAAGAGCTCATAGGAAAGCTAGATAGATTTGCCCATTTATCTTAATTTTTTAAAACTTGCTTATCTGAACTGTCACTGATGAGCAAAGAAAGAGAGGTGATTTTGAAGATGACGGAGACCTCCATTAGGGCTTCTTAAAATAAGACTGACTTTTTGAACTGCCTTGCCCTGAGAAGTGCAGAGGTAATGGAAATAGACTAGAACAGAGGTGCCACCATGTTCTCTGAAGCCTTCTTTTCTGCAACTTCTTTTTTTTCTTTTTGGCCTGCAAGAGCATCTCCAATAAAACTGAGGAGTGATCTCAGGGTGGCTTATATAGAGATGGGAGTGATGCAGATACTGACAAGACCTATACTGCTCTGCTGATGGCTTCTCCGAAGAGAAAGTCTATTGTTACCACCATTAGCCCAGATGGCAATTAGAAGAATTAAGATTCTCCTAATCTTAGAAACTCTCTAAACCTAAGAGCAATTTTGATTGATGACTCCCAGATTGACAAAGTAGCCCTAACTAGCTCTTCTGCAGGGCCCCTCAACCTGACCATATTCTGTATCCTGAAAGTGAAAAGTAGCAGAAGAGAACCCCTTGACCCTCATTAAGGTATGGAATAAAAAGTACTCAAGCTTATGTAGGGAGGAAAGGTAACCCTTGTGGGAGCTTTCCCCATCACTAGGATCATACAGGGCTCTTACTTTTGATCAAGATTCAAAACCCTGGTGCCAAGGGCAGCTCAGAGTTTTAAAGGCTTGGACAAGACCAGGCTAGGGAAGATCCATGGGGTCTGACCCTTACTATCACTGTCAAGGAAATCAGATATGAGAAAACTCCCTCAGGCAAGTTGTGATAGTAAAAGCCATCTTTATCTTATTTGGATTTGGAGATTACAAATTCAATGGCTCTATAGTTTGGTCCACTAGTGAGAATAGCCAGTGATGGATATGGGAAGAGTTTTAGTCAGAACCCATTTTGCAAAAGGGATAAATGAGGGAAGAGGGAGGAAACAAGCATTTATTAAGTGCCTACTATATGCCAAGCACTGTGCTAATTGCTTCCCAAATATTTTCTTATTTAATTAAGAAATTAGATGATTCTAGGTGGAACAAGTTGCTTAGCCACAACATTCTTAATAGTGATTCCCCCAAGTCAAGTCTGGGATTTTTGAAAGTGAAAAAACCAATGTCAACAGATTGTCTCAAGTATCACATTGTCCATTTCTGTCGAGGCCATATGCCTTTCATTCTTCCTAAAAATGTTCACTTATCTCAGTATTGATTGATAGCCTAGTAGAATGTTGTAGCTGGAAGGGGCCTGAAAAATCATCAAGTCTTCATTATACAGATGAAGCAACTGATGTTACTTAAGGGAGTCAGGGCTATCCACCATACTTTAGTTGCAGAGCTGATTGTTGGAGAGAGGGGAAGTCAGGAGAGATCCAAGTTCATGGCAGTCTTCATAGTCTCTGGGCTTCATTTGTTCCTAAATGGCTTTCTCATCTATCTCTGTGTTCCTCTTCATCCTGCTGGGAAGTCTTATGTGCTGGGCTGTATTATAAGCTGCCTGATGTCTTGGACAAAGAGAATATAAAAGAGTTGAGACAATAGGTCACAAGATCATTGAAATCTATACCCTTGATAGCACCGTTCAAGTTCTTCCCTATTTTCTGCAACATGACAATTCCGGAAGTGATGGGACTTGTTCATTTGTGTCCAACTCTTTGTGGCCACATTTGGGGTTTTCTTGGCAAAGATACTGGAAGGGTTTACCATTTCCTTGTCCAGCTTATTTTACAGATGAGGAAATGGAGGCAAATAGAGGTAAGTAACTTGCCCAAAGTCACACAGCTTGTTAGCGTCAGAGGCTGGATTTGAACTCACAAAGATGAGTCTTTCCTGACCCCAGACCCAGCACTCCATGTATTTTGTCACCTAGCTACCTATGGAACTTGACGGCTAAGGCAAATAAAGGTAAAGTAAATTCTGAGATCACGCAGTTAGTTAGCAGCATTGATAAAACTGCAGTCTATTTCTTCTGACTCCCCATTTCTTGGTCCCCTCATTTCCATTTGTTGCCAACCGCACATAATACAGTATATAAATATAAAAGACATGTATATACATACTGTAGCTGCAAAATTTATTTAAAATTTTCTCAGATTTCCTACAAAATATCATTATTTCTGTCTGACAGGGTGTTCCTGATTTCCCCATCACAAGGCCACAGGCCCCTAGTAACACTATCAGACAATCTGGTGTTAAACCATAAGGTTCTTTAATGTTGGGACAGCTGTCTACTCATTTGAATTCATGAGGTCTGCTTGTCTATGTATGGATTGACCACATAATGAAAATCCCTCTTTGGACATTAACACAATGCCCCATAATTGTAAATGTTCATTAAAAAGGCAGGAACAATTTCAGTGGTAACTTGACAGGTAAGGAGATGTTCTTTTCTAACTTCAGAAACTGGATAACCTCTTAATTAAGAAGCTAATATTAACTTTCACAAGTCAGAAAGTGTGAGAGACAGATGATTTAATGGAACAATGACCTTCAGCTTGTGACTAGTGACTCCTCACAAAAGCGGTTTGATCTAAGTATACTCTTAGAATAAGTTTGTGTGTTGTGGGAGGTGGGAGGAGTGGGGAACGGCCTGGATGCAATTCTGGGTATACGTGTCCTTGTTTTACTCAACAGAGCTATTCTCGCAAAGTTGAATGCAGATTTTTCCAATATGATTGGAGTTAAAGGACTTTAGTGTGGGAAGGGAAGCCACCTTGGAATGCATTCTGTAAAGTAATACTTTGGTAAAACAAATAATCACTCCCTAATCCCTCCCCCCAATTTATCTGTTTAGATATTTATATACAGACAGTTCGTGACTTTTAAGTGGATTTATGTTCTAATGGTTCATTTTTTTGTTGGGGGCTATGAGCTTGGAACTTATTTCCCATAGAAAGGATGATAAACGTGGTACATATGTTCCCAAGCCAGCCCAGAGGGATCTGCAAATAATATCTACAAATTATCATCCTAATACTACAGAAATCTAACCACCATGTGAAAAATATGTCCATGGAAACATATATTCTAAATGAAAACCTGGGACTCCAGGAAAACCCCTTCTTTCCATTATCGCTCAACCCAACTTCTCACCTAACACGAGCGCTTACCTGTCCAACTCCAAGTGACTGGTGGTGATTCCCAGCATCTGCAGGAGAGGCTCCAATCAAAGACAGGAGAGGTAAATTGATGAGCAACAGGGACAGGGTTGCTTAAGAGCAAGAATACGGACTTTGAGAATAAAAAGACTAAAACAAGGGTCAATTCATTAATAAAAATAGCTAATAGCTAACATTTCTATAGTGCTTACTACATGCCAGGTACTGTGCTAAACACTTTATGATCATTTTCTCATTTGATCTCCCAACAATCCTGGGAGGTGCTATTATTGTCCCCATTTTACAGATGATGAAACTCAGGCAAACAGAGGTTATGTGATTAACCCAGGGTCACACTGCTAGTAAGTGTCTGAGGTTGGATTTGAACTAAGATCTTCCTGACTCTTGGCCCAGCACTCTATCCAGTGCCTAGCTGCTGTATCTTCTGATTAAGTAATTCAAAAGACATTAATTACATATTTAACTAGATGCAAAACTGGGCAAAGGACCAAACATTTTTCAAATGAAACACTCCCAATACTCATGGAACTTACGTTCTTCTTTGGCCTACTTCAGAACAGAATAGCTACATTGCTTTTCTTGACAAATTTGGGTAGGGCCTTTCATCCTTCCAGGCCTCTGTTTTCTCATCTTTAAAATGAAGGGGTTGGAATAGATGATATTTCAGATCCCTTGACAGTCAAAGAATCTAAAATATTATGATTTCTGAAGCAAAAACAAGTTGTTTCATGGTTTTCTTTCTTTTCTTTTTTCCTCTCTCCCTTCTCTCTCTTCCTTCCCTCCCTCTCTCCATTCCTTCTTTCTCTCTCTTCCTTTATCCCTTCTCTTTCTTTCTTCCTTCCTTCTTCTTCCTTTCCTTCCTTCCTTCTTCTCTTCCTTCTTTTCTTACTTCCTTCTTTCCTTCCTTCCTTCCTTGCTTTCTTCCTTCCTACTTTCTTTTTCTTCCTCTTTTCTATTTTGCTCTTTCCTTCCTTCACCATTTTAGTTCTTTCCTTGGTTCCT